TATAATTGCCATGTTTCCGATGAAAAAAGAATAATTATTCTAATCTAAACAAATATTATGCATGCATCTCTGTTCTTTCCGCTTGCTGAATTTTCTGCTGATTTCGACATCATTGAAAGTGTTTCTTTCTTTTACTGTTCTCATTGCTGCTTTCTCAACAACAAACAAATATTAGAAAAAATGGTGAACTGGCAGATATTCTTGTCAGTTCTAACTATTTTATCGAGTATCATTTCTATCGTACTCGTCGGGTTATTTTCTATAATCACTTTACTAAATAGACGTCGCTGTTGGTCAGTGTCAAGTTATATCGTTTGCAACTCAAATGTGTCATTGTCCTTTTTGGCTTTTGTCCTATTAATAAATGTCTCTAATGAAAGTAATGAAACATCCTTGGCATGTGTTATAAATGGTTATCTAATTGATGTTGCTTTTTTTCAAATGTATTGGTCATATTTGGTTCAAGCGATTTATCGTTTTGTATTTGTTATTCATTACGGGAAGACACAGTTACATTCGTACAAATTTTGTACAATACTGATTATCATTCAATGGACTTTGGGCTGGTGTTTTCCTCTATGCATCATTTTTGCACAGCAAATGAATCACCTTTTGGTGGACAATCTGTGCTTTATTCCGTTTCGAAGCTGGCTTGCTTGGCTAATTCTGCTCCTTATACCCAATTATTTCATTCCTTTAACGTTAATTGGCATCATTTACGTTCAACTGATTCGTTTTACCAAAAAGCAACATGAAAAGCATTTCTTGATCAAACGCGCGAAACCACAGTTAAAAATGATGAAACGCATTATCATTCTACTGATTATTCTGATTTCATTAGGCATTCCTTCTATCGGCATATTTTTGTACGCAGCTATAACCGGGCAGCCTCTACCATACTCTTTTCGAATCTGCATACTTTTTGATTCCTTTGCCCTGCCGTCTGTATCAATGGCAACTATTATTTTTAATGACGACGTTAAATCAATTGTGCTTGGATATTTTGCATCTAGAACACGTTGCATACAATCCGTAAATCCTTCACTACAACTGCATTAAAATTTTAAGTAAAGAATCCAGTATTAAGAACCCAGTATTGATCAATCATTCTTCTTCTGCTGTGCTCTATTTCTACTAGATTGATCGCTTATTGACCCATATCGACGAAATCGCCTAACTTCTGCCGATTAATCGGCGATTTTTTTGTCTTGTTAATTTGGAAACACAGCAGAAAAATCACGATTAATCACCATTCTGAGTCAAAATCGCGATTAATCGGCAAAAGTTAGGCGATTTCGTCGACATGGGGATCAAAAGAACTTCTATCCTTTAAGTCAAGAAACACCTCTACTCTTATAATCTCTCAGCTCTGCCATTCTCTATCCTATTTTCTTATTGTGAATATTTCCGAATATTGGGCTATTTCATTTTCACTTGCTTTGTCTTTATAGTTTTGTATTCTTCTTTGTGCAATGATCTTTTTTCTGGTAATTCTCCAATTAATAACGGCTACCATTTAAGTGGTCAGCAGAATAAATGAAATGGTCAGCAAGCGAAATAATTGTAAAAGCAGTAAAATAAATGAATCGTCAGCAGAATAAATGAATGATCCGTAGATTGAATAAATGATCAGTATTTTATTGAAATGGTCAGTTATTAAAAATAATTTGGTTCGCCAATATATTTAAAAATTAGTAAATTAAATAACAGAGTCAGTATAAAAATCGAAATGTGTTATAAGGTGATTCACTTTTTTTTTCCTCTCTTATACATAACATATGTTTCATCTTTTCCCCTGACAAGTACTTTCTTTCTCTATGTGTTATTGTTCATATGTATTATATCTAATGGAATTTTTCCGATCATTTTACCTCGATCACCCGTTGAATATTTCCTAAAGATGTGTGATATCCCATCCTATATAAACCTGATTATTTTGCATAAATAAACAGAGTGTGAAACGATCACTTTCTTATCTCATTATCATCCATCCGACGATATAGAGTTAGTCACCTAATATTGATGCATTCTGGAAATCAGGCAAGCGAACATCTAACTTATATATAGTTGTCTTTTAGAAAATAAATGATATGGTTTATCATTGATCTACTAGAGCAATCACCTGCTAATATCGTTTCTGCACATCCAGCTTACTGTCAACGAATGAACAAGATGGACGTGATACAAGTTGCTCAATATGAAAGTGATACATCAGATGAAGAGGTTGTGGAAGAAAATGATGAAGTAAATGGAAACGAAAAAATTATAAAAAAAAAGAAATTTTGGATTAAAGAAGCTACATTTGATAAACCTGGTGAGACAGAATCATTAATTGGAAATAAATGGTCCAAACACTATACACATGATACAGAAAATGGAAGAACAGTTTATTATAGATGCAACAATGTCAAACGTCGTGGACCTCAGTATAGTGCAAGTATTTATCTGCTGTATCATACAGATACTGATAAAGTAACTCTCTATAAAACTGAAGCTGATCACGATCATCATGATGATAAATGTCGCGGTATTGATGAAAAGGTAAAAAAGTGCATAGAAGAATTATATAACGATGGTGTAATGAAGCCCAGACAAATTATTCGAGCACTTGAAGCAAGAAAAATAAAGACGCCAACATACACCAACTAAACAATTATCTTGTCCATTATAAAAAAAAGAAATTTGGTTCACATAAAATTCATTTAGGTGAATTAGAGCAATGCTGTGAAAATAATCAAAATATTCCAATTAATGAAAATGAATTTTTTGTTGTATCATAGAAGATAATGTATGATGATGAAGATGACGAAGATACAGAAGATGATGGTGAAAACAAATTTTGTATCTTTCTATCATGAGTTCGTTTGCTCAACATCGCATCTATATCGATGCTGATGCTACTTATAAATTAATATGGCAAGGTTTTCCAGTACTAGTTATTGGCACCACTGATTTGAATAAAGCATTCCATCCATTTGGTTTACCAGCATGTTCGAATGAAAAGACAAAAGATTTCGAATCTATTTTCAATGGAATCCAAATTGGTTTGGAAAAAATCAACAAAGAATTATTCAAACCAACAGCATTAATAGCTGACTTCATACACCAAGTACAAACAACGCCCCAACGCAAATTTGGATTTTTCGCTGATCAAATTTGAATTTTTTACTGACCCTTATAGATAAAAAACTGACCATTTTAGTGCTGACCATTTCAATATTTTCGCTGCCATTTCTATATATTTTTGCTGACCATTTTATTAATTTTGCTGACTAAAAATTATGTTCCCATTAATAACCATTGATTTGTTTCTCCAGTCCATTCTACAGTAACTCCCTCATTTTTAGCACTAGGGTTTAAAAGCCTGGGTTTAAGAGGAACTTTCAACGCTTTATCTATTGAGATCATAAAAAACAGTTTTAATTTTGTATTCTTTGGCATACATTAAGAGTAGGACCCACTGATGGGTTTAAAACCGCTTTTCAACAATTAAACTATAAAACTCATTATAACTCGGGTTGGAGAATATAACTCTGGTTGATAGTTATAACTTATGCTGAAGGTATATAACTGGGGCTGATAGTTTTAACTATTTCAACTTCATTTCTTCTTTTTCATTTCTTCTATCAACTCGAGTTATTTGATTGTTCGAGCAAAATTCTGTCTTTTTCGTCTCAGATTTAGAAAAGATGAATTTTCTCAAAGAAAAGAAGAAAGAAAAAGCGATGCGACTTTTGTTGCTGACACTTTGGTGAATCAAATGAGATTAAAAAAATGACATTATTTCTTCACTGAAAAAATAAGATAAGTTTCTAGGAGGGGCAAGTCTCAATTTCAATGGTCTGATTTCCAAAGTCAGACTCAATCAACCTCTGAATTTGAATTCAATTAAACATCGTTTTTATATTCAGTTTTCAATGATAAATTCGAAAAATATGATTTAAAGAGTTAAAAAGAACTCCACACCGAAACCGGTTTTCGAAAAAATGGATTCTTCAAGTATTTCAAATTTTTCGACCGTAAAATTTCTTTTGAAAATTAAAAACCTGTTTTTCTTACTCAGCTCATCGCGCTCGATCCAACCATGTATGAATCAATTGGAAAAAACTTCATACCTGAAGTTCGAATTGCCGGCACCTTATAAAATTTAGTGGAATACTAACTCGTTTATCTATTGTTGTTAAAGACACCAAAAGAAACATGCATAAATGATAGAATTGTACAAGATTATAAAAATATTCAAATAATCAATTAGAGGTTCTTTTAGATATTATTTTCATATATATCTAGAGCTAATTTTAATCGTTTTAAACCTTCATCAATCCATGTTTGCTTTAATGAAAATATAATACGAAACCAACCTGGTTGAATACAACCTAAATTATATCCACATGCAATATATAATTTTGAATTAAATATAATTTGAAATAATTTTAATTCTTCATCAATTGTTATTTCTTTTAATATAGAACGAAAATCAGCCCAAATAAAAAATCCAGCTTTTGATTCATATATTTTAATACGATGTTGACTAATTAATTCAATTTGTTGTTTAACATATAAATATTGTTGAGTTAAACGTTTTTGATTTATTTCAATATAATAATTTAACCATTGTTTATCTTTAATTAATGTTGTTATTGTTTCTTGTATTGATATAGATGGTGTCATAAGAAAATTAATTTTTTTTGCTATTGGACAAAAAAATGTTGTACCTGTATAAACAACACCTATACGTATACCTGACATAGAAAAATCTTTACTAAATGACCATAAAAAATGTGTACGTTCTGGATCTGGTATTGATTTATAATTTAATATTGATTGAAATTTATTTGATATTGATGTTTGAAATAAACTTAAAGCATATATTTCATCAACAATAACATGTAGTTTCATTTCATATGCAAATTCTAATATTGGTCTGATTATATCTTCATCATATATATCACCTGTTGGATTTTGAGGATTAACTATAATTAAAGCTTTAGGTTTAAAACCTTGTTCTAATGCTTTTTCATATCCATATCGATAAACATCAACATTTAAACAAAATAAACCTTTATCTTGATCGAGTAATGGACAACGAAATATCGTATTTTGTGTCAAAGCATTAATATCGAAATCAAACGCTGTATAATAGGGTGATGTTGTTAAAATGACATCTCCAATATCAGCTACCATATAACATATTAATGACAATGTACCACTAGCACCCGCTGAAATCAACATTTGTTCAGGTAAAAGTTTTACATGATTATCCAATTGAAATACATGATGAAAAAATTGACATAATTCTTGACGTAAATTTAATTCACCTTGTGAATTTGGATAATAATTATAATCAGATTTCCATGTTTGTATTGATTTTATTTTTTCTGTTAATAAATCTTCTGTTAATTGATTTTCTGCTACACCCAAATTACATATACCATTTGGATTTTTAATATCATCATATTCATTTAATTTAACAAACATATATGTTGATAATATTGGTGATATATCTTTAACTAAATTTTGTGCACGATTTGAAAGTTTTTCCATAGTGTGTATAATCGTTACAGAATTGAAATGGCTTACGTCGTTTCGTAATTTTTATCAGAAGAAGAAAAATAAAGAAAACGGAGTAAAATAATAGTGACTACAATGTGTATGTGGCCGTTATCATCTAGTACAGACAGATAACATACCGTATATCTCTCTGCATATTTTATTCAATTTTTTTTTATTTGCCTTTTTTATATATACTAAAAGTTGGAATGAGAAGAAAAACATACTGCAGTTTTGAAAGACGTCTATTTTAACAGAATAGACTAAAATTTCTAGTTTAGCAACGAAATGACTTTAGATTTCTTTAAATTTTGGACTAAACACAAAGCATATGGCCAGAATGACCTCATGAGAAGGATAAAAGTAAAGCTGTAAAGTATAAAAATCAGATTGCCTATATAAAAAAAGAGTTATCACAAAGTTTTAGTTTTCGTGAAGATGTTAATTTTGGAATAATTACAGGATGCACCACCATGATGACGTAACTTTTAATCACTTTTCCCATAAATTACATCAGGGGTTAATCAAAACTTTGTGATAACTTTTTTCGATTCAGTCCCGATTCGTCGACACTCACTCTCACACCGCCCCTCCCGCCTTTGAAATTCTTTGATGTATATTCTCTGAAGTGTCCGATTTGTCGACGAATCGGGACGATACCCTTTTTTCTTGTACAGGCAGTCTGATTTTTATACTTTAAAGCTTTATTTTTACCCTTCTCACGAGGTCATTTTGGCCATATGAATCAGTTTTTTCATGTTTCATTTAGATGGCTAATATATTTTCATTGTATTTTAAATCTCCTTAGTAGAATAAAGAATAAGGCTGTGACAGTTACCAGTTACTGTTACCACTGTTACTCGGTAACTGTACCAGCCCTAATAAAGAAATATTAAAAAACGTTTCTAACTTTTATCAGAATAAATTTTATCGACCAGAAAGAGTATTTTGTTTGTAACAGAACAATACGTAGATTTATTTTTTTATAGATGAAAATAACTGAATAGACGCGTGGAAAAAAACATTATGATGTGTAACCCAGTTAACAAATTATCGAACTCTAAAGCATCAAATTTTATGTTTTTCTGATTCTTTCTCAAGAAAGGCCTGTGCATATCTCAAGAAACTCATGTGCATACCTTAAGAAAGTCATGTATTATCGATTTTTCGCATTGTAAATAGCTCTAGCTTCGTTTTTAAGACTTGATTACACCATATTTTACTCGGACTTTTCGTCGGGAACATGATGCAATCAGTTTTTCAGTCTTTCTCGACAACATGCATTATTTTCTTGCATGTATATGACGTCCACATGTCTGCTCTATAGACAGACATATCCAATCTATCTCTATATATTCACATTGAAAGAACGAATTTCGAATTTCATTGATCAAAGCAGATTGAAAAAACAAGACAGAGAAAAGTTTGGCTCAAGAAAGTCAAGCGCTTGAGGTAAGAATCTCATGCGCAAGAGTTTCTTGAGATACGAAACTCAAGCACATGAGTTAAGAAAGTCAAGCACCTGATATCGGAAAAAATGTGTTTTGCATGAGTAAGAAATGTCTCCACGCCATGAAATTCTTACTCAAGAAATTCAAGAAAGTCATGTGCTTGAGCAAAAAAGCTTCACTAGGGTAGAAATATGGCTGTATCTTACCGCAAGAGATGTAGAGACAGAGCTCTTTCAACTGATGATAGAGAAGAAACACAAATCACTGATTCTGGTAAATTATTCTAGTCAGTGACAGTTCTATAAAAAAAGGAGAAAACTGTTCGTGAAGAAAGATCCATAATAAGAGGCGGAGTGCGAACATGTTTAGAGCGCTGAAGGCGTAGAGAAGCATGGTGAGGGCGATGAATAGGATAAAAACTGAAGAGAGGACTAAGATGATCGTAAATTTTAAACAACTGAGCAAGTCTAAAATATTTACGGCGAAGAGAGAGGATTAGAAAAGAAAGTTGTGATACAAGTTAAAGAATTAGAAATATGATAATCAAAATTACGATAAATAGCACGATAAGCAAGTTATTACAGAATAAGCAAATTATTTTTAGAAAATGCTCGGAGATCTTCAAAAAGTCCATATATAAATTCCTTGAGGATTTTCCAGATTCTAGAAAATCGAGTTTACAAGAAACCGTCGAATTTCCAGTTCGATTGTTCCAGTTCGAATTAATTTAAAATGATACGCGATTTTAAATCTGGAAATATCTCGGCGATTTTATATATGGACTCTTGGAAATGGACGCTGGAAAAGACAACTTAAAATTTTAGACGTCTTATAATACATTAAAATTACACCTTAAATTTTCATAACGCGCTCTGGCATTAACTAAGGCTTTTTAACATTATCTTCCGAGATTAAAAGCGCGTTTATGGATTAAAATAACACCATTGGAAAGCATTGAAAGGACAAACTTTTACGCGTTAATATTTTCTAAAACATCGTTTCTGCATCGACAAA